AAATTTTGTTGTAATTTTTCTCTTCTTTTTTTCTTGAAATAAAATGAAATCAAAAAAAAAGATAACATTGCTCAGTACCACCTGTTTCTCTGGAGCAATCTTGTCAGATTTTCACAAGATAGGTAGTATTTATTCTTTAAGTCTCAATGTTTATCATGAGTATATCGGTGATTTGGTTTTTATCAACAGTAAATGTGCTGTGAAATGCTTGTTCTTATGTCTTATTTCCTTTGTCATATATGTTGTAATTCAATTCAGTTAAGATATACTGAACACCTTAACTCATCTTTGTAATACCCAATGCATGCCCCAGTTAAGATAAAGAATTGGTATAAGTACCCTTCAACGAAAAAGAAAATGTAGTGCATGTCACAGTGGAGTGTTCTCCAAGCAAAGGGAAGAATGACAGTCTTGTCATTTGCAGAAAAATGGGTAGAACTGGGAGACTACATTAAATGAAGTAAGTCAGGAACAGAAAGACAGCACTGCATATTCTTATCACATGTGGAAGATAAAAGAAGTCAGCATGAAAGTAGAATAGTGATGACTGCACGTTGGAAACAGTGTGGTGAGGAAGGTGATAAAAGGCGATGAGCTTTGATTAGCACTGGCTGTGTGCATGCATGTAAATATCACTCAGAACCCCATTAAAGTGTACAATAACACATATAAACAAATAAATTTAAAATCGCCCCTTTGTTTTAGCTGTAGCTCACAAGATTTGATAGCTGATGTCTTCTTTGTGATGAATTAAAATATTTTGCATTTCATTATAATAGTGTCTTAAGGCTAAAAATTATATAAAATATTATTTTAAATATTTGACTTCTTAATGTTTTGTGTTTGTGGTTTCTGTGTAGTTCTACTTTATTATATCCAGAGACCACTTTTGCAACAGTTATTTAGTTTTTAGTCCTTTGGGACAAGTGTTGGATGAATTTTTTCTAAATTGTCTCATGCGTAATTGGTAACAATTCTGTTTTCTAACTATAGGATGTAGGATTTGATTTATTACTTTATATAGGATATAATGTGAAAAATCAGATATAATTCATTTTGTTTGTTCAATCAATGAATGGACACTGTGCTTGCTTCTGCTCTTTAGGATCATCCCACAGTAACATTCACATGTATGTTTTTGCATGAACACATTTTCAGTTCTTTTCAGTGGATAACTGAGAGTGTAATTCCTCTTGTCTTTGTTTAATCATTTGAAAACCTGTCAAACTGCTTTGTAAAGTGGATGCTACCAGAGGTGAATCAGGATTCTGATTTCCCCACATCCTCACCAAACTCCTCACCAAACTCATCTCTCACTTCTCTCCTACTCCTCTTCCCTTCATGTCTTGTCTATTGGTAGTTTAAACGCTTATGTTACTGTTTTAATTCTTTTGACTTACCATTCACAAACATGTGAGATAGAGATCTAATGTTATTCTTCTCTGGATGGCTAACTGACCCAGAAAATTTTTGGAAATGATGAGTTTTTTCCCATTTGACAGTCTTGGCATACTTGATGAAAGCTAATTGGCCATAAGTGTTTGAGATTATTAGTGAAATCTCATTTCAATTCCAATGTTATTCATCTAAATTTAGGAGAGAAGTGGTACCATAATGTACTCTATATATTGATCTATTCTCCTTATATTTTGACAAAATAAGTAAATAAGCACACTGTATGCATTTAAAAAGAAATCAAAGAGAAATCTCACCAAGTAAAGAAATAAATACTTAAGCAGAGGAGTTTTCAGTAGTGCACTGTTGTGTGACTGATCACATTGCATGCCAACATTTGCAAGTGCGAGTACGGGCTGCAGGTGCTTGGGGAACACTGTGGTACAGCACAGAAGTAGGTTCCTGTGTGATGAGTTTTGGAGGCTGAGATGCTCAGGAAACTGTCCTTCCTGGTTCCACCTGATTGAGCAGTCAATTTCCCATTTCTCATCATTTCACCCCTCTTCTATAAGGTTATCAAAAGCACGGGACCTTCTCCAGGGCCCTGTTTGTATGATAAAAAGTTGTTAAATATGCTTAAAGAACTTCAGTTTATGGATACATCCTTTCCTTCCTGGACAGGGGTAGAATGAGGACTCTGATTCAGCTGTTGAGCACACATTGCTAGTTAGGAAGACCAAAGAAGGTGGTTAAGATGTGTTTTAATGACTTTTCTAAGACCTCTTCGACATAATAATTATATCACTCAACTCCCCAGCCCTGCCTCCATGCTTTCTCCTTTCCTACCTCTTCTAAATTTTCATCTTTACGTCTTTGGGAGAAGGCCTCACCTCTTGCCTTCAGAGAGTACCCATTTCTTGAGAATTCTCTGAGAAAAAAATATCAACCCCCCCAAACTCCCATGATACAACTGTCATAAATTGAATCCACAGGGTCATTAGTAAGACTTCAAGGAGCATTTCCATTAGCAAGTCATTATTTCCTAAATGAGCCTTTTGCTGAGAAAAGCTACTCTTGGTTTAGAGCATTAACTTGAATACCATGGTAGTATCAAGACATCTCTTTTATGTATCAGTCAATTTAATCTCTTGCTGGGTTTTCCCCAGGGCTTTGAGCTACCCTGCAAAGCTAACTACGCATGGAGGCACTGCTGCTCTGTGGAAATGCAGTAGATGAGATCTGAGCCTTTACTGACCTGCTTTCAGAGTTTCATTTTGTAATCCTCCTGTTTCTCTTCATCCTTTGATGAACATACTTATGTGTACCCATGATATGCGTGGGAAGTACAGGCACAAGACAAACAGGAACTCTGTCCCGCCACCTATATATCTCTGGAAAGTCAGTTTAGAACCCCTTTCTGATTGACTATGGTGAATTGACAGTATATGTTTTCCTCTTCTTTCTGAGATACAATTGAAAAAAGAATAAAAATTTTAACAACTAAAAACAGTTGAATTATAAAGATGAATCTCAAAGTTCCACTATGTAAAAGCAACAGAACTTCAGGTGTCCTACCAGGTGTCCTGTCAATAGAAAGGGCACCTGATTCCTCAGAAAGTCAGAGCAGAGGATGGAGGCTGAGAACATTAAACAGAGTGAGGAGAGTGAAAGTAAAGTTATGTACAGTGCAGTGACACTTATAACTCCCATTCTGATCTAGAAAGTTCTGCCTGCAATACTAGGTATAGAACATAAGCATTTTAGATACCAGATTTATCTGAGAATAAAGTGAGGCAAATACTTACAGCTATAGAGATTGAAGCCCTCTTCCTTTGCTTCCACTGCAGATTCCTATCTCATTATTTATGAATGAGCACCTCGGGATCACTAGACATTAAAAAAAGAACTTTTGACATAAATGTTAGAGACAAGAAGAAAAGAAAAAGACGCCAACAGGGTAATGCACTAACAAACTTAGCACTGTTTTTCAACACAGTGATGTGAGTATCACGGCCTTTTTAAAGTAAATAAAATGAAATAGTAGCAAAATCTGGGTATCAAAGGATGGAATTTTAGAGGACTTTTTGGAAGAATAAAAATAATACAGAATTTAGCAATTCCCTTCCTCCCTCCTGTGCTCCTTTTTTCTCCAGTCCTGGGGATGAAACCCAGGGCTCCACCTGCCAGGTCTCTGTATCCCTGAGCTCCCACTGCATCCTGGCCAGCCCTTCTGTTGTGTGTTTCATTGTCATCTTCAGGTTTAGGGGTGCAGAAGATCAGTATCCAATTCCCTGACTGTCCTTCTTTTCCTCTAGTTTCATTGTCAGTTTTCTCAGTTGTCTGAGTTTGTCTAAACTTTACTTCTGTGTGTGTGTACTTACCTTGCTTACTGCTTTATTCCTACTCTGCAGTGTGAATCACTGCTCTCTACTAAGTAAAAATAAATAGTTTCACATTTCATTTTCATGACTGTAATATTTTATTACAAAAATATATATTTTTAAAACAATAAAAGCTCAGGAATGCTTCACTAAGATGAAATGCACCTGCATGACTCTGAAACTGTCTTAACGGAGCATGGTTGACATAGACATGCTGAGCCTGAGATCCCTGTCCCTGTCCCATCCTGCAGGGCAGGAAACACCCCCTTCCACCGCACCCACTGCCTCCAAGCAGCCTCAGCAACGGTAGTTGTCTCTCCAATTCCTCACGGTGCCCACTGGTTTAGCCTCTGCATTCAAAGCCCACCTATGTGGGCCCCAAAAGCCCTAAATTATAAAAAAAAAAAAAGGGCCCCCGGAAGTCGTCTCATTTTATCTACAGTTCATTTATTTTATCCTGGGCCTAGTGACAAAGTGCAGATGGAGTTTGCAAAAGCTGTGTGTTGCCCTCAAAGCTTGCAGCCTTTGTGTGTATATCACAGTTTACAAAGCAAGGGGGTTATGTGCATGGATCAGGAAATCTGTTAATGAGGAACACCTTTTTTTCCCTTAGCAGAGAACAGAGAAGTCCAGCAGTAATTAACAATCTTTTGTCAGCTTATTTTAGCACCACACTGGGGAGACATTTCTACTCCCTAAAGCTCTCTGTAATGAGTAGCAGGCTGCAAAGGGTAACACAAAGCTCTAGAATGTACATGGCATAATTTTGGAGACATCTACTTAAGGTATTTTAGTGTAGAAATAAATAAGTATATGTTGCAGGTTGGATTTTACATATGGAATATGAGAGTCCAGAGAAATTTCACATACATAAAGGGCCTTTAAGCCCAGTCCTCTCAGGATATTGACTCACCTGGATTGTTAGCTGCAGTTTGTAGGAATTTTTAAAAAATGCTCAGTCTACTAGGGAAACTCATATACGTCTCTGTAAACTACAATATCCTAAGTGGTACAGTTGTTGTGAACGATAATTAATTGTTTGGATGATCATTTAATTGGAATTAAAGACTCAAGGGTATCAAATTATTCTAGTGATCGTATTCAGAAAGAAAATCCTTCCTTAAAAAGATGATTATTTCCATTTAAAGTTGTAAGAGAAGAAAGATTTCTATCAGGAACTTCAATGAAAATGTGAAGTAAATATGGGAGTACTGTTTTTTGTTTTTTGTTTTTGTTTTTGTTTTGTTTTTTTTTTTAGTATAATTCCAAGAAAACCAACAGTTCTGGGACTGTAAACATTCTCTCAGGTAGACTTGGTGACCAAAACTTTACATATCACTTAGGATCAGGAGCAGAATTATCTACAGTGTTAGAATTCTAGCGGTGACATAACAAACACCACCGAGTGTGTGGCCTGAACAGCGGAAGTTCATTTTCTCACAATGTAAGTAATGATTCAAATATATAAAAATATGTGGTAATCAGTTTCTCTTAGTTTTGATAGAAGTGAGTGTAACAAAAGGGAGGAAAGAAAGAGAAGAAAAGAAGGGAGAAGGAGAGAGGGAGAGACACTGGAGGAGGGAAAGAGTACTGTCAGGAGTTCCTACTGTCTCTCTTTATCAGGATTCCTCAGCCCTATCAGATCAGGACTCATCCCTGTGAGCTCTTTCAGCTTAATTACTTTTAGATCCTGTCTACAGACACAGCCACATTAGGGTCAGGGCTTCAGCATGTAAAGTTCGGTTCACAGTGTCTATGTTCCATCATTTTCTTACTTGTTTCTTTGCAGAAGTCGTGCAAACTGAGGCCAGCTCCAGGCTTCCAGTGAGTGACCAGGACTGTGAGAAACCTGTTCAGTGACAACCACTGAAAGAAGCAAGTAGAGGGAGCACGTGTCACACCCATCATATCTCTAGAGCGGTCCTGGGCTCCAGGTGTCGCTCTAGATTTCCAGTTTTATAGAGTTTTCTTTCATGAGTTGAGACGATTTTTCCTCTACAATACAGTGTAATTCTCCTCACTCCATGAATATGAGAGTGGACCCACCTGGGTTTTTTAGAACATTCCTGGACTAATTTGAGGGTGGTTTCATTTGTGTCTGGCAGGCTGACATCAGGACTAAATCTTATTTATGTTCTGTGCATTGGAATCGCTGACCAGTGGTCCATGTGGTTCAGGTTTTGTTCTATGAGCAAAAATTCTCCAGAAAATAGAGACAGAGCAACCAATTTGTCCATTAGAAAATTAATGAAAGGTAAACCGTTATTGAAGCAGTAGAATAGAAAAAATAAATGTTTAGGATCACACATGTCAACTCAAATATAAGGTCTTTTAATTCCAAATTCAATGACCTTGAGCATGTGATTCAATCTCCGTGAGATCAAATTGATCTGAAAAGTGAATAATATCTATTTCTTAGAGTGCCTGAGAGCAAGGAGATAAACAATACACACAACCCACCTCATGTTAATGTAATATAAGTTATAGTCATTATGTAAACAACAAAGAGTACTGAGTATTCATGAACCATTTGTGATCCTCAAGCTATTTTTTGAGGTGTTATTATCCTTTTTCTATTGAAGAGAAAATTTTCTTCTATGATTTCAGAGTTCCCCATTTTTCTTAAAATTATTGTGGAGCCCTATCATGGTCAGTTTTCCTGATTTTATTTAAAGAATTAGGTTGACTTGACATTATTATTTGACTAATACAGAAAATACTATTTTAAATACAGATGGATCATGACATGGCTCAGAGTCAGATAGAAAACACATGCATTCTATAGCCTTGCTTCATCCTTACATGGGCAGAGTAGTGTGAGTGCATCCAGTTTAAGATGGAACACCTTCTTAGTTACCTTCTCATCGCTGGGATGAAATACCTGGCAACCACAAATCAAAGGAGGAGAAGTTTAAGAGGGGAGTAATGATTTAGAGATCTACGGTGACTTACAACATAGGTGTGATGTTGCCTCAACATCACAAATCTTGCAAAATCCAGAATGGGCTAGTTCCTGCAGTGTTTTAGGTTCCCTAAAAAAAGGTTAACCTTTCTCTTTATCCTGTGATCTTGCCAGTTCTTCAAATAACTACACAGGGTGTAGAAGCAGAGCATGAAGGTGAGATCTTGACCTCATATAAGGACAAAATAGAAACAGTTTCAAGCTGGAACTCGAGGAAATAACAGAGAACAGAACACACAAGAAAGCACAGTGAGAGCTGGAGGTAAGCCCAAGCTACAATTAGGTATTTATTCATATCATCCAGTCTGTTCACCTATTTGTTAATTCTACATCTGTAATATAAACTTAGAAAAAGGATTCCCTGTAACTTCTCCTAGCGTGCAGCAAGATTCCTGCTCCAACAGTTAGGGCACAGTGTAGGCCATGTGCAGAGAACCTAAGATGAGTTAGAGTGCTTTTTGATGAACCAAGGGGAAAAAATAACAGGCATCAAGCTCCTTGGGACAACAGAGACACAAAATATGTACATTATTACATAAGTTACTGAAATTCATGCCATTCTCATCCTCACTTGATGTTGTAGTGACTGAAACGTGACATAAAACACAATAAAATGAAATTAAATGTGTGCTTAAACAATAATCTCCCCTTTTTATTATTCCTACTTCTTCTTACTTCCCTTTTTTGTTTTCAAGGAGACAATTCCCTTGATTTCAAGGTGTCTTTTAGCAAGTATCCCTGCAACCTCTCAGGAGCCCCCCCTTCAACACAGCATCTGTGCCCAGCTGCAGGTTTGGGGACAGCCCTCAGAGGCACGGAGATCACTGTGCACTTCCTGCACAGAAGTAGGTGCCTGAGTGGCTGGGCCGGGTGGCTGTGATGCGCAGGGAGCTTTGCTGCATTTTCTCATCCAGGTTAGCTGTTATTTTTCCATGGCTTTTCTCATCTCCACGTTTCTGTAACATCATCAAGAAGACAGGACTTCCATCAGTCTGTCTGTACCAGTGTAAGGTGTATAAAGCTGTTGATGAACTGCAGTTTATGGCGAGCTCTTCTCCCTCTAGAATCACCAGAGACTGACTCTGCCGCAGTTCTTGGCTGCTGACCCCTGTTCAAAGGGCAGGGTAAAAGAAACATAGGAAACCCCCATGAGATCTTCACGATCATAGTAAGACAGTGACTCTCTTTCTCCTCTCACATGCCCCAGACAGTAACAACATCACTGCAACCCAGAAAATACTATTTGTGTTTCTTTTTAACATCTTCTAGTTCTCAGAAGGCCTTCCCCAGACAGAAGACGACTTCGTGCCTGCCCTTGGGAAGCAGTGGTCATCTCATAACTCCCAGAGGAAGCACAGACTCACAGGCTGCCTGCAACCCGAGAATCCCCAGGAGAACGTGCAGGAGGGTCTCCATGTCTCCACTCTGCAGCAGAGATGCTCAATCTGATTATGCTGAGAGGCTTCCCCAGGAGGAATTCCTTGAGCTCATTGGTCCAGGGCGCTGCACCAAACAGAGCTCTCCTGAGTGCCTGCTATCAGTGCTCCTTAATCTCACTGACACTTTCTAGCTAAACAGCGCCACCCTTTGGCTAAGTAGAGAAGTGTTGAGTAATGGATGACTTTTCTGGGAGGTATCATCTATTTAGTGTGATACATCATTCAACTTATTATGAAAGTAAAAATCATTCAGTTTATTCTTCCAGGCTTGAGAAAGTATCCTCTTTATAATTAAGAGAAAGTAAAGAATTCTGCGCTTTATACTGCAGAATAATTGCTCATTTGGTTCTCTGTGTTACTTCAGTTCTTTTTCTTCTTACAAAATTATTTTATTAAAGCCTTTTCCCCATAATATATATACACATTTAATAACTAACACTTGACACTTTTTGACATAGACATACAAATGTGAAATCACCATGTCAGCACAGCTGAGGAACCTCTCCATCATTGCCCAAGGTCCCTCGTGGCCCTGTCCCCCTGCTCCTTTCTGACCCCTCCTGTTAACCTCCCCCCATCCTCCCAATCCCAAGAAAATTTCTGATCTACCTTCTCAGTTTTTATCAAATTCCTGCCATTTATACAATTTATTTATCTTGGTCTATTTCCTCACAGGTAAAATAGGAGTGATGAAATTCATCTGCGGGTTTGTTGTGACCAGTACAAGGCATGATAAATCACAAGAATTGTGGTATATAAATAGCACAGAGAGTCACTCATGGATGTTATAACTGAAGCTGAACTCTGGTTTCCAGAAACTTCTTTTTATTGGTCCCATTTGATCCCAAGCACATCTTTTATTCTCCTCATCTTGGTCTTTCAGAGGTTTGAAGATGACAGCAGTATCCTCTGAGTGTGCACATTTTTTTATAAATTTTTACTAGTGCCTATTAATTTTGCAATATATTGGTTTTCAATGTTTAAGCTGTATTTTGCCCACATCTCCATCCATTAACAACCCTTATACCTGCCTCTCTGCCCCCGTATCTCTTTTTCTTATTTAATAATACACACCTCTCTTTCTTTCGTGTCATCTTTTAGGTTGCACATATTAGGTAGAGCATGTGACCTTTCTAAGTTTGGATTGTTTCACTTAGCATGATGATCTCTACTTGCATCTCTTTTCCTGCAAATGACTTGTCATTCTCCTTCTGGGTGGATAATCCTCCACTGTGTGCATAGACCACATCTTCTCTAACCATCTGTGGATGGACTCCTAGCCCGGTTCAGTATCTCAGCTGTTCTGAACTGTGCAGGTGTCCCTGTATATGCTGACTTTAATCCATTTGAGTGTATACCATGGAGTGATATAACTAGGTAAGATAGCAGTTCTATTTTTTAATTTTCTGATGAATTTCCACTGTGGCTGTAGTAATTTACAATTCCACCAGCAGAGTACAAGTGTTCCTTTCCCCTCACTTCCTCACCTGCGTTTATCTTTGTTCAAATTCTTGATAATAGTCATTCGGACAGGAATGGAATTTCAGTAAAATTTTAATTTTCATTTACTTAATGGCTAAAGATATAGAATATTTTAATGTATTTATTGGTCATTTATACCTCTTTTAAGAATTATCTATTCAATACCTTTGCCTATTTATTATTCAGGCTACTGGATTTTTGGTGCTGAGTGTTTTGAGTGATTTATATATTCTAAATATCACTCCTTGGTTAGAACTATAGCTGGCAAAAAAATTCTCCCGTCTTGTAGGGTTTTTTTTTTCATTTCTTTAGTCATTCCCCTTGTTGTGCAAGAATATTGAATTTGATATAGCTCTACTTGCTGATTCTTGATATTCTGTCCTGTGCTGTTAAAATCATACTCAGAATATCTTTGTATATATCATGTATATATAAACTGAAGCAACCATATAGCTTGGTCAAAAATTACCATAATTTACTATTATGCTAAAAGCAGGTAAAATAGTGAACAAGAGCATCTATAACACCTACCGCAAAATAACTTCATCATTATCTAACATTGCCATGCTTAGTATGATAGAAGAAGATAAATTTTGAACCAGGCTAAAAACTGATTCATCCAAGGATCAGGTCTCGCAACATTGGAGCCTAGAACAAATTAACGTCTTTAGCATCTTCTAGGTGAACTTTGTCGGATATCTCTACTCTTGAGTCAGGCAGAGTGAGTTGTGTGGTATCCACCCCTAACTCACAGGGGAACCTTTCCAACATGTATTTTCTCATGTATACCTCATCTATAGCCTGTTTCAAAGAGTGATACACATTTAGGAATAAGGGGGAAAAGGAGAATGGAGAGATGAGAAAAGATTTGCAGAAGAAAATGAAATGATATAATTTGAAAATAGAGGTGGAAATAAACACAAGAGGAGTTGTGTGGCTCTTCTCAAAATCTATTAGCAAAGAAATGGGAAGAAAGGTCTAGAGCTATAGCTCCATGGTAGAGTACTTTTCTAGCATGAACGCGATCTTCAGATTGCCCCAGCATGGCAAGTAATTTTTAGTAAATAAACAATTCAAGAAAAAAATAAAGGAATGGAAAGAAATATTTAAAATTACTCCATCCTCCTCACTACAATAACTATGGTTGGTAGTTTACAATGGCCATAAATACTTGGTGAGTTAAATTGTTCTCTGTCCAAATTTCTCTATTTCTCTTTCTCTCCTTCTCGCTCTCTCTCTCTCTCTCTCTCTCTCTCTCTCTCTCTCTCTCTTCTTTGCAAAACCCTGAGGATGGAATCCAAGACCTTTCTCCATGACAGCCAAGTGCTCCATCACTAAGCTGCAAACAGTCCGAGTGAGACATTTTTGCTGGGGCCTTCCTGTGTTTCCTAGGCTGACCCCAGGTCAATGGGTTTTAATGGTCCTCTCTCCTCATTTCTCCAAATGCCTGGAACTATAAATGTTTGCCACAACATGCAGCTCTCATTATTTCCGTGGGTCTCAGATATTTATTTATATTTGAAAAGGGCTTACCCATGTCTCTGAAGCTGTGCACATGCTCAAGAAGACACTATAAAATGGAAAACGAAAAGAAAAGTGGGAAACCATTAAGTACAACTGATTGACATTTCCCCTCCCACTAGAAGTAGCTGACATTTGAGACTACGACAGCCCCTCATGGTGAACTGGGCACTGAACTTCTTTACTTAGAACTGGAAATGAACACAGCAGTTAAGTACATTTCAGTTTTTCAGATTTTTTTCATGGAAAAAGGTAAAACAAAATTCATAAAATTATTTGGGCATATCAATAGTCAACACATTGTATGTTGCTATCTTTAAAATAGTTGTATAGCGTACAAGAAATGGGCATAAAAATCTCTCCATTTAATATTAGCAAAAAATTTTCTTTTTAAGGCAAAAACATTAATAGTATGACTGACTCACTTTTTCTCATTTCCCTAATGTCCTTTCCCCTTTAACACACCCTAGCTCCTTTTTCCTTTGGAATGATTTCTTCCCATTTCACAATACTTATTGTATATTTTAGATTTTTTTTTTACTCTTTCAGTTTCTCACACCAGGGAATCAATCTGTTTACACATATAAGTCTGATTTACTTCATATATGAGTATGGTCTCAATTTGCATCCATTTACTTATAAAATTCTCATGTTTATCCTTTTATATGGCTGCATGCTATACAACTTATAATAAAATCACATTTTTACATTCATTCCTTGGTTGATGAGCATTTGCAAGATTTAACTATTACAAACTGTGCAGCTATAAATATAGGTGAACATATATTGCTGTGGAATGCTCCTTTTAATTTCTTCTGGGAAGATATCCAGAAGAGGAATACCTGGACTGAATCAATCTAACAAAAGAAGTAAATGATTTATATATTGAAAATTACAGTACTCTGAAAAAGAGATGGAAGAGAATATCAGAAAATGTAAAAATAGCCCTTGTTCTTGGATAGGAAGAACCAACATAGTGAAAATGGCCAAATTCCCAAACTCATTATATAGACTTAAATCAATCAAAATAACATTAGCATACCTCACAGAACTAAAATTCATCTGGAATCAGCAGAATAAATCTGGAAAGTCAAAGATAATCCTGGGCAGCGAAGGCAGTTCAGGAGACAGCACAATACTTGGCTTGAAATTATACTACAAAAATAGTGTGATTAAACCAGCATGATATTGGCAAAAAAGCCTCAAAGAAACAAAAAATAAACTCAAATAAGAAAACAAAAACAGACTTAAGAGCCAATGGAACAGATTAGAAGATGCAGACACAATGACAAACACACCCAGCCCTTATCACTGACAAAGGAGCCATATATATTCACTGGAAGAAAGAAGTCTCTTTAATAAATAGTGCTGGAAAAACTGGCTCTCTACATGCCAAAGACTAAAACATGACCCATGTCTATCACCATGCAGTAAATTAAAGTCTAAATGAACCAAAAATCTAAATATTAAAAGTGAAACACTACATCTGGAAGAGAAAGTAGACAGAAATCTTGAAGACGCAGATGCAGGCAGAGAGTTCATGAGCAAAGCTAGACAGCATGGGGAACACTTAAAAGAATCAGCCCTTGGTTCTGATCTCATTAAAAACTTTACACATAAAGAGAAAGCAACAGAGTGAAAAGATGACCCATGGAATGGGAAAAGTTTTAGTGGCTTGTCCCTCAGGCAAAGGACTTCTATCTAGAATATGTAAAGAATTGAAAAAACTCAGATCTCCAAACTCAAAGACCCCCAATCCAAAAATGGGCATCTGAGATGAACACATACTTCTCAGACAAAAACATTCAAATGGCAAATAAATATATGAAAAAGTGTCCAGCATCACTGGGTGTTCAATAGATAAAAATTAAAACAACGCTGAGATTCTATCTCACCCCAGAAAGAATGGTCATTATCAAAAAATCAACTGATATCAAATGCTGGAGGGGTTGTGGGGAAAAAGGAACCATTGCCCAGTGTTTGGTGGGAGAATAGACTGGTGCAACTACTATGAAATCAGTGTGGAGATTCCTCAAGAAACTAGGAGTAGAGGTGCCATTCATTTAGTATTTTTAGAAGCATCCTTGTGGTGGCAAGCGTCAAAGAAGAGTTCCCTACCATAGTATTTTAAGATTAAATTGTATTCAGTCACTTTGTGTAGTGAGTATTCTGTGATATATTTCTTATTTTTGAATTCTATTTTTGAAACACTTTTGATGGCTTCTCCCCATGTTTGAAGGCAGTTCTAAGCACG